GGGGGGTAGTAGAAAGACAAAGCATTGAGAAAAGTAAGGAAGTGGGCATACATTTTATGATGTTCCTAAAGTAAGTAAATTCATGTATAATTCATGTATAATTCAGGTATAATTCAGGTATAATTATATAATGTATGGACCAACAAAGCAAGGACACTAAGCAACTTAAATTCAAACCAGCAACTCTACAAAAAAACAACAACAAACAAAAAAAACAACCAAACCCATCAGTACTTTATCGAGTTGAAAGAGTACAAAATATATTTTGAAAACAACAATAAAAAGAGTACATTGATACACACCGAGAAAGGGTAGTGAAGGGGTGGTGTGGGGGTGGTGTGGGCAGAAATAGGGGCGGGTTTGGGGTGGGGTGAGTTAAAAAAAAATAATTTAAGTGTGTGTGAGTGTGGGGTAGAATCATGCAAAAAAATAAAATATTTGTGACCTTAGAAATATAGGACCTGACCTCCTGAAAATGTGTGATGGTCGCTGGACTCTATAGATCTAAAGCCACAAATTGTTAAAAAGAAATTGAAATAGAAACACAAAACGAAGACCCCCAAATGGTCTTCCTATTTAGGAAACCTCGCAAAAAGATACATGTGGGGATTAAAACATCGAGTCATAAAATATACACCGGCACGCTAGCGACGAAAGAAATCCACACAGATTGTCCGAAAAAAGCGACAATAGTTGAAACGTGTGAGTGTAATAATAGAAAAGAATATACAAAATAGTTGTAATACACACATATAAAAAAGTTCTAAACTACAAAGAAACAGCGTGGGTATTGCTATAGAAAGAAAAGAAAGTATAATATATATATATATTTGGTGAGACAAAACTCTGGTGATACACTGGCTACATGGTTTGTTTCGTGGCAGCTTAGGCCGGGTGATTTACCTTTTTATCTCCACCACCAGCGACATGCCTTGCATTATCTAGCGAGCCAACTTTAGATTCTACTCGCCATTCAAGTTTCTTGCTTTCAATCTAAGAAAAAGCGAAAGTGTTAGGGAGAAGGGTCGAAAAAAGTAAGGGGGGAGCCATTGTGAAAAACATCGACCAAAACAACAAAAACAAATATATATCTATGTATGATACAAAACCAAACATATTTCAAAGCACAAACGTGAAAAACAAAAACACAAATATATTTGGTAAAACTAAAAAGAAAATAAGTTTTTAACCGAGTAATAAAGCCAGTTAAAAACGAAGAAATCACATTGAAAAGACCCCCCCCCCCCTTTTTTCTTTTCACCGACACACAAACACATACGCCATTTTATTTTCCTTTCGAAAACAAGAATAGAGAACCTGCATACACAAAGACGAACAAACAAGGGGACAAATCCATCAAAATAACTGTAAACTGTCTGTTCTGGGGAAGCCAAGAATCACAGTTTGACTTGTGGAAATATTAGCTTCTTCCTCACATACAAAAACAGAAGTCCAGAGTATATTCTTCTAGTGACAATAACACCAAGAGGGCGTAGCGTTGCACTGACGTCATTTCCGTGGCGTGTTAAGAAGAAAACTCAAATGTTGACAGGTGTGGAAAAAAATAGTCTTCTTAAACACGGTACTCTTAGCAAAGGTAGAGCTGAAGAAGGAGACAGAGAGGAGGAGTGGAAGGAAAAGAAAAGTGAAAGAATAGGAGGGTGGGGGAAGAAGGGGGTCGAGGAGGAGCAACGTTGATATATTTAAACGTTGTTGTTCTTCGGTCGTTATTCACTCTTTTCACGGACAAATCTGGTTTCTGGAAACTGCTTGCGGAGTGGCTTGTTCGTTTTTCCCCTTCAAAAGCAAAAACCAATTCGGGGCAGCTGACATATTCTAAAACAATTTCCACTGACATATTTAAAGCAATTTCAACTGACAAATTTAAAAAAAAATTCAACGAAGCAATTCAAGCTCTCTGGATTCAACAGGTAAACCAGGAAATCATAATATTTTCAAAAGGAAAAAAACCCAAAAACATTCTCTGTGAAAACGAAACGAAAGAAACCAACGCGTTCAGCACACACGCAAACACGGACAGGAACAGAAAGTGAACAGAAGCAGGCGACAACACAGAGAAGCCAGGCAGACAACTTGGAAAAAGAAAATTATTCACACCAAAAAGGCATGGGTAATAGATTAAACATGTAAGTCATTAACATTTTATGACATTCTATATCAAGATAACACTGTTTGTTTCCAGCACCAACTATCCCACTCTACCAGAGAATAAAATACACAGGTCACGAGATAGGTGTATGTGATAGGCATCATTCGCGAATTTGTTTTCGATGAAGGTGTTTTTAAAGCCCTCATCGACACAATTTAGGTCATTAAAAAGGCAGGCTTATACACCTGCCCGTGAGGGCCCACCTTGGCTGAGAGGGAAGATACAATATACAACATCCCAGCAGAAGAACCGAAGTATTCGAGAAATATTAATTCCTCTTCACTCGAGAATCGAAGAGCTAGGATGTCCTGTGTGGGACTGCTACACCACAGACGCTGGAGAAATGTGAGACATCATGGTGAAATCAGACGCTCGTCAAAATAATGAAATCAAAGAAATCGGCATCTTTTTGATGATGTGCAATTTTTTTTCTAACGTTCTTTTTATTTTGGCTCAACACCTTTTGTGTCTGTTTAAAGACAAATTAAAACTGTGTGCATTTTACTGAAAAACATAGATGGAAGGCTCCAAAAAGATAATAAATTTTCAGTTTCAAGGACTATTTGGCTACGGAAGTTACCAAACGTTGGAGGGCTTTTTCTCGACAATTTTACCTCTAAAATCAGGCGACCCTGACCTCTTTCCCTAGCAAATATCTCGACATCTATTCAGCATAGATCAATATTTTTTCACCAAAAGAAGGCAAATGGACAGGCTTTGAAATAATACCAATGAACCCATAATAATAGGCCCAAAAATTGACGAGCGCCTGATTCCACCACGTGGTGACACAAATAAGTTTAGCTGCTATTGAAGGTTCACCTCCACCCTTCACTGAACACTACCACCTTAGCATCCACAAGGTCTTCCGGACCCATGCAGATGGAACATGAACTAATTCAGACCCCAGTCGGATCCGAACGACAGACGTCATTGTTTTCGTCAAGTTGGCAACTGAACCATTTACATCAATTACTTTTTGACAACTGTTCTACACAATCCGTTCTTATATTACATATTGTTTTGTATTGGACTTTCTAAGCTTCCAATTTCGCCTTTTGTTAATTATTATTTTCTATATAATACAAGTATCATGTTTTCTTTTTCCGGGAGAGTGTCGTTCGGTGGGTTTCATTTTCTTTTCGTAAGTTCTTTGTCACTTTTGTGATATCATAAACCCTTACGCCTCAACACGTTCTGAAAAATGTGCTGTTCTCAAGTTCTGATGACAAGCTGCCAAATATAGGATCTACTTGTGTTTGGTTTCCATGTGAGTTTGTGTCAGAGTACCATTTAATCTCCAGGTCCAAGGGAATCGAGTCTGAGATCTATAGGTCACTGGACGAAATGTCTTAACACTATACCATAGAGATACTTTAAAGCGCAACATAGCTGTAGCAAAACGGAGTGCTCGCATCGTGCTCTTAAGTGAGAGACAAACTGTGTATATCAGGCAAAAGGAAAAGAGAAGCGCAAAGTTTTACTGCACGCTCCTTGCCGAAGCCAAACGTTGAGCAGTTCCAGGTTTCTTTATTAATTAAAGAATGTTCGTGAGGCAGGCGCATGCAGTTGTGTTTGCATGAGGATGCCAGCCACAGTGCGATGTGGAAAATTGGGCTAAATAATGGCTCTGTGACCTGTCATGTAAACATGGAACACACACACACACACACACACACACACACACGCACACACACACACACACACACACAAACACACAAACACACACGCACACACACACACACAAATATTTTGTCTTGGAGAGTAGTTCATACATACAATAATGTAAAACAATGTTTATTGCATTACAGACATATACAACACAGATACACGGTTATAAAACTATGATTAATACTCCCATTGAGATAATGAACAAATAACACACAGAGTTATAGCTCTACAACATTCTACACTTAAACTTCAGATTTCTGTATCTCTTTTTTTTTTAGAGTAAGTTTTCTTGCTCAGATATTGGTCGTTTCACGAATTTTCCGGCACCAACTTTTACTCTTGCTTGTTAATCTCATTTACTTGTATGTATTTTGCCTAAAAGTTTTTCCTTTCTTAAACCGGGGCAGTGGAGAATAGTATGTGTCAGCTTTATGCTTGAAATCAAAACCAAATCATTTCCGCACCAAATGTACGTCACACTATAAACTGGTATAGATACGGGATTTAAGAACAAGGTAGTTAACCATTAATTGCTCTGCCTACTTGTGAATGTTCATGACTTGTGCCCTTCGGAACAAACGATCAGTCATAACGAAGAAGAAATAATAATAATGACTAAAGTCGATCTCAAGATGACCATTGCATCTGCAAGACGGACATTTCTCAAGCAAAATAGAAAAATTAAAGTTAAGGCAATTTGTGGACTCTTCAATGAAACAAATTCGGGCAGAGAAAAGGAGAAGTTGATCTTGAAAAATACTCCATAAAGTCAGATGAAAACAAAACCCCAACTCTAATCAGATACCCAAGTTTTCGGTGTGATCAAATTCATACAAAAACTGAGCCGAAGAGACCAAAGTTTACGGGTATACTAAGATGAATCCCAGACTTTACTCGAAAGAGGACATCTATAGATCTCATAGAAATGATATAGTCCTTTGCTATAAGAAAGGTTTCCACATGTAACGATCTCTCTGTTCATCTCTACATTCTAATAGAGGGGAGCACTAGGAATTAGAACATGGTGCAAAACTGGGTACTTTCTCACTGTTTAAAGTCCTGCCAGTATAATACTCGCTGAGACTCCGGCCAGTTCAGAATCTTGATAGGGCATCAACCTGCATTTCTACTTAATATTGTTATGTGTGAGAGAACGAGAATCATCAAATTGTTATGACATCATCAGCACCAGTATCGCCTTCAGTCCACAACAGTCATTGGCAGCTTTGTTTAGCCTCTAAGGAGAGAGGTTTTAGAAATCTTGAGTCATGCAGCAAAATGTTTCACATCTAGCCTAAAGGCAAGAAAAAAATCTGGGGTTGCAGGGGTGTCCAGGCTGGGAAGGAGGGGCATGGGGCTAGCAAATCGGCTCCCACCATTAAGCTCTGAGGCAACCCATTGCATGAAAAAAAAATCAAAATCAAAACGCGCTGCGAAAACCAGCAATCCGGCAAAGGCGTAAAGCAAGCGCCCATTCTATTGGCTACATTTATCACGTGACCAACCTACCTTCTTGTCGCCCCCAGAGGGTTTGTGACTGGCATTCTCCATCGATCCCACCTTTGACTTGGCCTCGACCTTGACTTTTCTTGTCTCGATTTTGACGGCTCCACCGCCTGGAAATATAAAGAGTTTCCATTTTTCTTAGTCACTATTCTGAAATAAATGTTATGTTCTGGAATAGGTCAAATTCACAATACAACGATCTATACAGATTACCATCTGGCCCAGAGCTCATAATTACATCTCACACCCC